GATTGGGGAAACCTGCAGTCAGCTGAGACTGAAGAAGTCACTTGGATGAGTGATGAAATGTTTCTCCCACTGAAAACGCTACGTCGAGATAAACAGAACCAACGTTTGGAGATTTACTTACCTGGATGATTGAGCATGCATCAAGACGTTTGCTTTAAATCCACCACAGCACAGCAAACTTTTCATGCAACATTTAAATCACACAGTTAGTCTACCTCAGGTTGTTTTGCAGCATGTGTCACCATATGAAAAACATAATGGCACATGTACAGACAGGATAGTCTTGGGGTGGCTGTAGCTCAGGAGGTAGAGTAGGTCATGTACTGATCAGAACGTTGGTGGTTTGATCCCTGGCTCCTCCAGTCTGCATGCCAAGTATCCCTTGGCAAGATACTAACACCAAATTGCTCTCCGATGTGTTCATTGGCATATGAATGGTAGTTAGGAAGCACTAAGAAACTTAGAAGACAGTGCTGGTGGGAATGGGTGTGATTGGGTGAATATGGCATGTTGTATAGAGCGCTTTGAGTACTCTGGGAGAGTAGAAAGGGCGCTATATAAGAATGAGTCCATTACCATCCATCCATTTATCTCCCCTAACCTAGCTGGGCCCACGTCCTCATTTTAAGTTTGACAGCGTTTTTTAGTAGATGAAGGTGAATAGCTTAAACGTGAATTGAGCTGCGGTTTGGGAAAGGCCTCGGAAGGGACTGGCAGGAGCTCCCGGGTCTGGCAGATCTCCAAGGAAGGCATGCCCTAGGTAGGCAGGCTAGCGAAGATAAGTACCCCATGGCCTCAACAAGGTGGTTGAGGATTCCAAGCTCATGGAGTGGATGAGCTCGGAAACAACAGGACCAATTCTGTTTACATTATACATGCTTCCCTTAGGCAGTATCATCAGAAGGCATAGTGTACATTTTCACTGCTATGCTGATGACACCCAACTCTATCCATGAAGCCAGATAACACACACCAATTAGTTAAACTGCAGGAATGTCTTAAAGACATAAAGACCTGGATGGCCGCTAACTTTCTGCTTCATTCAGATAAAACTGAGGTTATTGTACTCGGCCCTGAAAAGCTTAGAAATATGGTATCTAAGCAGATTCTTACTCTGGATGGCATTACCTTGGCCTCCAGTAACGCTGTGAGGAACCTTGGAGTCATTTTTGACCAGGACATGTCCTTCAATGCACATATTAAACAAATATGTAAGACTGCGTTCTTCCATTTGTGCAACATCTCTAAAATTAGAAATATCCTGTCTCAGAGTGACGCTGAAAAACTAGTTCATGCATTTATTACTTCCAGGCTGGACGACTGTAATTCATTATTATCAGGAAGTCCTAAAAACTCACTGAAAAGCCTTCAGCTGATCCAAAATGCTGCAGCAAGAGTCCTGACAGGGACTAGAAAGAGAGAGCATATTTCTCCTGTTTTGGCTTCCTGTTAAATCCAGAATTTATTTATTTATTTATTTATTTAGGACAGTGCATGTTAATGAACATAAATGTAAAAAAAAATTACATGAATGTAAACATACCAGATTATAGCCAAGGGCTAATTTCCATCTGTTGTCCTTAAGCATAAAAAATAGACATAATAATTCATAAAAATTCATCGTTCATTCATAATAAAAACTCCATCACCAAACTTACACATACACACCATTCTGTTCCCAAATAAAACATTAAAATTATACATGATCACACACTTGATTTGTCCATAACCAGTTTTTAACCTTTGCCTTAAACAAATTGAGTGTAGAGCATTATTTTAATTGAATTCAAAATCCTGCTCCTCACATACAAGCTCTTAAATAATCAGGCCCCATCTTATCTTAATGACCTTGTAGTACCATATCACCCTATTAGAGCACTTCGCTCTCGCTCTGCAGGCCTACTTGTTGTTCCTAGAGTATTTAAAAGTAGAATGGGAGGCAGAGCCTTCAGTTTTCAGGCCCCTCTTCTGTGGAACCAGCTTCCAGTTTGGATTCAGGAGACAGACACTATCTCTACTTTCAAGATTAGGCTTCAAACTTTCCTTTTTGCTAAAGTTAGGGCTGGACCAGGTGACCCTGAATCCTCCCTTAGTTATGCTGCAATAGACGTAGACTGCTGGGAGATTCCCATGAGGCATTTATTATTTCCTTTTCAGGCACCTTTCTCACTCAACATGTGTTAACAGACCTCTCTGCTGAACCATACTTGTTATTAATCTCTGTCTCTCTTCCCACAGCATGTCTTTATCCTGTCCTCCTTCGCTCTCCCCAACAGCAGATGGTCCCGCCCCTCCCTGAGCCTGGTTCTACCGGAGTGGGCCCTAACAGTGGGCTAAGATTTTCTTTGCCGCTGTCGCCAAAGTGCTTGCTCACAGGGTTTTTTCTCTCTGTATGTATTATTGTAGGGTCTAACTTACAATATGAAGCGCCTTGAGGCAACTGTTGTTGCAATTTGGCGCTATATAAATAAAATTGAATTGAATAGGGAAGAAAACATGGCATCCCTGTGCCAATAAAAGCATGCTGCTGCGTTTTGTGAAAGAGGGATAGAGGGAAGAGAACCTGGAATCCTGGTGCCAGAAGGGCTCATTACTGCTTTGTAGTAATAAACCCTTCTGGCAGACAAACTGGCAACTCTGTGGTAGGAAGCTTGCTGTATATTGCGAATGATGGATAGAGAAGAACCTGGAATCCCAGTGCCAAACTTGCTTCTGCACTTTGCGGAAGGAGGGATAGAAAACATCAAACCGATTTTAGCCTAAACAAATGAAATGAAAATATGAACCTGTTTTGAAAATTGAAGTTGAGTAGAAAGTACAGATGTTTGTTTATAAAAGTAGGGAGTAAAAGTAAAAAGTGATCAGAAAAAACTCCTTACATAAAATAGAGATACCTGAAAATTATACTTCCCACCTCTGCATGTGAAGTTAGTGATTCAGACTTGGATGACATTGAAAATTAATATTCTATACATATTAATTTCAGAAGATCATTAAAAGTGTTGTTTATTAAGTAATTGATAACATGTATTTTAATACTTTAACACTGAAAAATGTACACGTTTTCTCCTTTTTCACACACTGAAATTTACATGTTTGAACAACACTAAAACACATTTTATCAGCTCTTTGCATCAAAATAACACATCTTTGTGTGTTAAAAAAGAGCCGTTTGGATCCAACTCAGCTTAAGAATTATAGGCCTATCTCTAAGCTTCCATTATTATCGAAAATTCTGGAAAAAGTAGTTGCAGATCAACTTACCACTTTTTTAGAAAAACATGATATGTATGACAAATTTCAGTCAGGTTTCCGTAAAAGTCACTCAACAGAAACCGCATTACTTAAAGTCTCTAGTGACATTATGATGTCAGCTGACTCAGGAGCATCCTCAGTCATGGTTTTGTTGGACTTGACATCTGCCTTTGACACCATTAACCATACCATCCTGATTAACAGGCTCCGGGACATAGTCGGTGTGTCCGGTCTGGCTCTGGAGTGGTTTCGGTCGTACCTCTCCAACAGATCTTTTAGTGTTTTTGTCTAAGGATCTGACATGTGGGGTACCACAGGGCTCAGTTCTGGGTCCTGTTCTTTTTCTTTTGTACATGTTACCTCTAGGACTTATAATTATTCAGTTCCCTGAGGTGTCTTATCAGCCGATGGAAGTCCATAAACTGTCCTCTTTAATTAAATGTTTAGCTTCCATTGAACAGTGGCTTGTTGACAACTACTTACAGTTGAACTCTGAGAAGTCAGAAACATTAATTATTGCCCCCGACAACCAGATATCTCTAATCAAACAGCATCTTGGTTCTCTTGGCTCATCTGTTCACCTGAGCCTCAGGTACCTTGGTGTGATGTTTGATTCTGCCATGTCCCTAGAACAACACTCTTGCCAGTTGATTAGGAATTGCCTTTTTCAGCTAAGAAACATCTCCAAACTGCGAACTTTACTGTCTAAATCTGAGTTAGAAATGGTTATTCACGCTTTTATTTCTTCTCGCTTAGATTATTGTAACAGCCTTTTTCTGTGTTTGAGCAAGAGGAATATTGACCGTCTCCAGTTAGTCCAGAATGCTGCTGCTGAAAGGCTTTTAACTAAGACACGAAAAAGAGAGCACATTACACCAGTGTTACGTTCATTACACTGGCTTCTGGTACATTTTAGAATTCATTTTAAAATCTTGGTACTGACTTTTAAAGCTTTGAAGTGTGATGCCCCTGACTACATTTCTGATCTTTTAGAACCCTACGCTCCCTCTCGCAGCCTGAGATCATCTAATCAAAGGCTGTTGGTAGTCCCACGAACTCGTTTTAAGACTAGAGGTGATAGATCTTCTAGAGCGGTGGCCCCCAGGTTGTGGAATGTTCTCCCTCCATCATTACGTTGCCTTGACTGTATTTATTCTTTTAAAAAGCAGTTTAAGACTCATTTATTTAGATTGGCTTTTAATTAGATTTGTGCTGTATGTTTGATTATTAATGTATTTTATGTATTTCTGCTTTATATTACTGTGAAGCACTTTGTGGTTTTTATCCTGTGAAAAGTGCTATATAAATAAATTGATTTGATTTAATCTAATCCCACAAAAGAGATGAAAGTTAAAAGAGCAGACACATGAAAAACTGACACAACATGCATTGTCCCTGAGCAGATGCAGCACATGTTAAAATTTAACACACTATGTAGTGTTTTAACACATCCAAGAGTGTAGATGAATTAAAAGACTTGGAATCATCCAAAGCAAGCAGACAGTGCAGAGAGAAAGACTAAAGAACAAAGCAAACTATGAGGAACACGAAAACAGAAGCTGAGGCAGTGCCTGCGTTGTTCTAAATATTGGTGCTTCCGATACGTTACCATAGCTGTATCGGAAGCTGTTGATTATGAGTTTATGGATGATAACACCATAACGTCTTCCTCCGCCTGCACTTTTGTTTTTTCACCGGCTCTTCCCCGCCTAGGCTCTCCACGTCACATGCGGCGCATCGTTGCAGGCGAATGGAGCCGAACCGCTATCTTCACTGACCTGGATTGTGGAGGGTCTCCATTCTGCCCAGCTCAGCGGAGAAGATAATACTGCAGGTAAACCCGGTATTTTCTTTTCATCAAATAACCACCTCAAATATTACATCTTATCTGTTTTTTGTTTTTGTTTTTTTTGCGCATGGAAGGCTTCGGCTGTGGTAACAAATAAATTGTGTATGAATAATCACAGCATGAGCACACATGCACGTAAACACGTACAGTCCCGTCATTGTAATCGCCACGTTTTTAGGCAGAAGAAAACATTAGGACGCTGTATTGGTGCCTCTTTATAATATGTGCCGCCAGTGCCATTGCTGCTTTAAGATTCATCATTATTTATTTAAATAATCATTACATTTTTTTTTAAAACAACTGTTTTCATGATCGTCTTATATCTCACCGCCAACATTCGTGGTTACAAAAAGATGTAAAGGCAGATGAATCTTGTCTCTGATCTGCTCCGCCTCGCAGATGGAATCTTGACGTGAACGATGCCGCTGCAGGGCAGCGCTGTGCCAGGAGCGTCCGCCGAGCTGAAGGAGGAGCCGGCTTGAGAAATTCCAGTAATCGTAACACCCTTAACTACACCTGGATTACAGCAAACTCACCTCACTGTTTGCACATCGATCTTCTACATGGATATGGAGGGAGCAGGATAGCGGGAAGATGAGACCAGATCTTCGCAATTTAACGCACCAACGTAGCCAATGGTAAGTTTGTTTTTTTGTTTGTATTTTTTTCAGGTTCAGGTTACCACAAAGCACGTGCAACACGTACACTGTATACTGTATAGGTTAATCAGTGTGTAAACATACTCTGATTAAGCAAGATCATGTTTATGTCAGATGCAGAAAAAATCCTTTAAATGCATTAATAATAAACAAGCTATTTTATTTACTGAATATGAGTACACTGAAAAATGAAGCAAGTAAATTTACTAATGTAATATCATCTTGAACATGCGCATTTCCATTTTATATCACTAACAGAACTATCACACACTATACAGTACAATAAGAATGTAACTAAGCATGCACTGAATCTCCTTGTACTTTTTAAAAAGGCTAAACAATATGTTTTTAAGTTTTCAAAAAGGGACTCTGCCTCATACAGTAGTTTGGTACTCTGCCTACCATTCCCTAACGTGAAACAGAAACCGGATGCAAGTGGGTATGGACACTGAGCTGTTACAGGGCCTGTCATATTTTCTGGGTTGACCCATTGAGACTGATTTGGGTGATTTTCAGTGGAAAATATGTCAAGAGTCACACTCTGAATTTCCAACATGTTATCTTTCAGAATGTTATTTGACATTAAGTGACTGAACCTCAATCTGTGAACACATTTTAACATAAAATGTTCAGAAACTGACTGTCTGCAGGCTGCATTTAAAACATCATTTAAAACACATTTAGTTCAATGTCAGAGTTCTAAAGTTATTTCACCCTCGTCTTCACTCAAATAGTCACATCAACCCCCAGCTCCAACTGTGACACACCTTTTTCGACAAATGACTGATCATTGATCAGTGTGTAACATACAGTAAATGTTTGCACTGGCAGTGCTGTTGTCCACAATGTCAATGCGTGGACTATAAATTTAATTCAGAGCTGATTATAAATCTGTGATGTTATTGCTGTCTGCAGTCCTTTTACACTGGTGACTGTAAAAATGTTCACGTCAAGTACGCAAAATATAAAAGTAATTGAAATTGGGGGCTTTATGAATGAGGAAATGAATCCAAGTGTCAGTCAAAGGTTCAGGTGTAGCAGGAGGGAGGGATGGAGGGTGGGAGGTCAGAGAAAAACTCTAGGTTTTGGTATCACAGAGTCTGTTAGGTTCACCCAGTCTGTTACTCTGTAACTGACTGTGTGAACTTAAGTCTATTCACAGATTGTTGCAAAAAGAGGCTGGAAAAATAAGCTATACTAAAAAAGAAATATTGTGGAAAATTCTGCAACTAAATAGATGAATTGGAGCAGGTCAGTAACATGGTTAAGTTAAGAAACACATATTAGACAGGGAAGAGATTCTCAAAGGTAAAGATGACCTGTGTGTGGAGATGAGAGAGATGGATGTGAATATTAACAAAAAACAAGCCTTTATTTAGGGCTACACACAACTATAAACAAAAGGCAAGGGAAGACTGAGGTAAACTAAACTAAACTAACAAAACAAAAGCAGAAACACCTAAACACCAGGTATATCAAGGAAAACACAAAGACTGGAAAACCTGAAACTTGGAAACACAAGAGAAGACAGGCAGATGGGCCAACAACACACGGAGGAGAAGAACTAAATACACACAGGGACAGGAAACAGGAGGGACACACAGCTGGGGCTAATCAGAAACAACGAGACAGAGAGGAAACAAAAGCTAATGCCCTCAAAGTTTGATTAATCCCCAACACTAACTTAGTCTAATACACTCAAATGACAAACTGTCATGAATGCTGGATTTAGCTTGTACATGTTACATATGTGAACAGCAGTATGCAAAATCCAAGTAATAAGAAAACATTAGTTATCTTATCCAGATGAATGTTTTGTATCTTTCCTAAAAAAACACTTGACTCTGACACCCTGAAAAATTTTGTTTTTACATGCACAAAGGCAAAAAAAAAGCTAAATTGCAATATCTTATGTAATGGCACAGTGTCTAGTTGGTCATCCGAGACAAGTGGAGTGTTATGCAGAGCTCTACTGCTGCTGTGTGTGCATGCCTGTGTGTGCATTTTTTCATATTATGGGATCTGCAAAGGATTTTATCAGTCATGCGCTGTCTAATAGATGGGTTGTTCAGTGGCGCGTAATGAGAGAGCATGCTGTCTGAGAGAGAGAGAGAGAGCGAGAGAGAGCGAGAGACAGAGGAAGAAAGATGAGAAGAGGAATCATGACAGTGTCTCAAAAATATAAAGGTTTGGAAGGCAAAGAGAGAGCGAGTTGACACTGTCGTGAAGATGGGGCCAAATTAGCTTTTGATTTCTGTTTCTAAAGGACTTTTCAGTTTGAATTATACAAATGCAGGAGTGTATTCCAGTGAAAGAACATAGATGGTTTAAATGTTTGGAGCCATGTTTTTCCTCCTAACAGAGACGTGTGCTAAGCCTGCCCAGGACATGCACATCGCTTACTGTCTGTGAGTCACTTTTTCAAAGCCTCCTCCACATTCCTTGCTCCTCCAGGACTAAGTGATCTTAGCTTGGTTTAAATAACACCAGTATATTTGTTGGTCTGAAGTAATCTAAATGCGAAATGCGTTTTTTAATCAATCAGATTAAACGATGATACAGATATCATTTTGACTGATTGCACTCATCACATTTCTTATTGTCCAGATTCACTGTCCAGATCCCAGAAAACTGCACATCAATTACAAGACAATCAAACAGAACTTCTTTGGACTAAAATATTGTTTAAACTTGCCAACAGCATGCTAACATGCTAATGGCTCAACTAAGACCTCCATGTACACATAGTGAGATTATGACATGATTAGCATTTTTTTGCAGGTCATATTTGCAGTTGGGTTAGAAAATCAGCACTGCTCAGTGTTAGTCATTGTTAATCGTTAACATTGACTAGGTTACTGTTAGAAATATAACACTGTCAAAAGTATTAATTTAACACTCAAAAGAGTGGACACATATAGACACTTTCTAGTGTCAATTTAACACTGGAGATTTTGCAGTGTTTGTGTCAGATTTTATGAGGACTTTAGATTTCTCGTCTACCATGCAGGAACTGTAATGTTGTTTGTCAGTTCTGTGAATGTCTTTCTGTAGATATTGTGAGAAAATCTCAGTGTTAACACACTCATCTCCAAACATCCTCCAGGTCATTGGTTGTTCTAGCGTTAGTTGTGACATTAAAGTTAGATTCACTCGCTGGGCCCACGTCCTCATTTTAGGTTTGACAGCGTTTTAGTAGATAAAGGTGAATGCCAATCTCTTCACATTGGAAGCAAGCATAATCAACACGGTCCACATGTTATTTCAAAATAGTATAGATTCTCATCAATCCCTACAGGGTTATCTAAATTGTGTTTATCTATAACTCTCTCTCTGTCTCTAAATTTTGGAGAATTTTATGCTTGGTGTCACAGTTTAAGAATTTGACCATAAGTGACATTTATGATGTTATCACCCCATCGGGGCTTACCTTTCCCACTTTTTGATGATATTCCTCCCTCGACCATTTGACATTACCCTCCTTTGGCGGCGAAAAACTGATGGTGTGGCCACGTGGGTGCTATGGGAAACAAAAGCTCAGGACAAAACAGTTATTAGTCACGTGCTTCATACAAATTTTGCATATATTTTGATTTCATGTTGATTCACTGAGTGTAATGGCACACTTTAATTTGAATTTAACAAAGTTCAACACAATGGCTTTTCTTTATTTTGCTTCTGTTCTTTTTGCAGTACCACATCCTAGCACATGCCCCTGTCGTTTGCATTCTACTTTTAATAATTGACTATTTTAACAGGAAAAGACCTCAGTCACGTGGACCAGTGTTTGTTATTACATAACTCTATTTTGAATGTGACAAATCTACCATTCCCCCTTGCTATTCATAAATATTGTTTTGGTTCTGGCTATTTTCCTCTATAAAATTTAATTGACTTTTTACAGTGGCCCGCTATGGTCAATAGTAACATATTCCAGTCATAAGTGATATCAAAGGTTTTCTCCACTGTAGCATTTGGCATTCCCAACAATAATGTGATTCCGTAATCAAAACACAGCCGATAAAACACAATTTTCCTAATGCAAACATCAGTAACTCAAAATTGGCAGCCAAAGGGTTAAGTCTGCAGCTCCACACTCTCATGTGAAGCTACAGTCTCCCCCTCTGGTCCCTCTTATCCTCCTGCTCCTGCAAAACAAAACAAAGCATCCTCCCTTTTCTTACCGGCTGGGTGAATTGTTTGTCAGCATTTACTAAACCTACGGTAGGTGCAGTCTCTCAGTATCAAGTCAGTCAAAACTTTAGTCCACATCGTCACTCCATCACAGTCCAGTCACACGCATTCATTCACACACATCCATACCAGATATTGCTGATAGTGGAGTCTCACGTGCAACCAACCTATTCCAGTCTCCATCAACAGCAAGATGATGTCATAATTTTTAAAAGGAAAACAATTCTTTATCATTTTGGACTGGATTGACTCGCTGCAATCCTTTTAGACTCAGGACTTACCATCTAATGTGGTCAGTGTCCCATATAAGTGAATTTCTCCAAAGCCCATTATAATCATGGAAAAGCACTTTGCACACCGGTGGGTCACACCTGTCAGATTTCTTATCTCAGTGCACTGTAACAAAAGCAAGAACAAAAGTAAAAAATAAAATAATAATAAAAATAACAAATACTGGGCGAGTTCCAGACAAGTCCAAGCATAAAACCGTCTCTCTCTCTCTCATAGAGGAAGAAAACAACCCAAACCTCACTGATAAAATCAACCTACTGTTAAGAAAAATCAACAGATAACTCACAGGAGTTCCTCATGAAACAATATTGTTTGGGAATTAGAACCTCAGGTGCCGTAGCATGCAGAGTTGCATTCACTGCTCCTGGCTTTAATTAGTTATTAATTAGTTTCTGATACTTTCTTGGTCTGAACTCAGACTTAAGTGTCACTCCGTGACTCTCCAATTGCGAGCTCTGTTACAATCGTCCACAAATCTGCCCAGGTCTTTCCAC